AATGATGATGACGTAGAACTGAAAACCTGAAGCAAATATTCCTTTTTGGCAGAGGCCTGTGACATTGACATGGATTTTCTTCTTGTGGTCATAAATTTTCCTGCCATAGTCACCACTTGCTTGTGGATAAGTTAGACATGAATAAGCAAAGTACTTTATAACTTGATTAAGTGTATATGTGATGTGGCTTCCTTGTTTCTCCCAGCATGTGAGCCTCTGGTTTGGTCTTGTACTGAGCTTCCTTGCAACAGCCAGGCGGTGGTGCTGTTAGCCACTGTCGTGGCTGAGAACCCAGCAGCGTTTTACTGCCGCATTGACAGTCCTACAGGTATTGTTTCTTTAGCCTAAATAGCCGCCATTTTTACCCATAGCAGCATTGTCTCGGCAAATATACAGAGACTTTTCATTAATAACTAGTTATTTTTAGATTTTTAAAGGCAGCAAATCTATCAGATTAGCAGTCATGTAATTATTCTGCAATATTTTCCATATATTGTAAAAATGTACAGTTACATTAGCACCACCAGTGTAAGGATAAATGTTAGCAAAGGTTTGTTTTATTTAGTGAAAAAACATTCAGATGATATTTTATATCAAGGAAATAAAAACAGAAGTGAAAATAAAATTAAGGATACTTTTAATGAGACCACAGTAATAAATAAGCAGAAGAGAATGGATGGTAGTATGGGTCTTTTGTCTTTGTAAGCAGAACAAACAATACGATGAGGTGGGCAACCCCAACACGGTGTTTACAATCAAGCAAAAATGCAGAACAATACTGCAAATAAAATGCCAGTAATTAGGCTATAAATATCCAGTTTGAAGAGAGTAACAGCATGAGTCAGAGGATTCATTTATTGGTGCATGCATGTGTTATCTGTGTGTGTTTGTCAGACCACCAGCGCCTGAAAGAGCTGGGGGCTCAGTTAAAGCAGCATTGTGAGGCTGATGCATCACCTTTCGAGCCCAAGGTGGGAGAGCCCTGTTGTGCCCTGTTTCCTGGTGAGACCATCTGCTGTACCACTGACTTTATAAATGTCAGCAGCTCAGCAGCCGATTGCTAAAACATGACACAACCACACTTTATTGTCAGTTAAAGGTTCTGGGATTTTTATTATAGCTGCTGTTTGTCTTATAGAAAGTCCAAATATGACAAAGTTTTTCCCCACACTGTGATCTAAATCCACTCATAATGAATCTTGTCTTTCTTTGTGTTTTGGGGCCTTTATGGGACATGATGTGCTGTTTGTTCCCCAGAGGATGGAGCATGGTGTCGGGCTATGGTGATGGGGCTGTCTGATGACAAGGTAGCTGTGAACTTTGTGGACTATGGGTACAGCTTGACAGTTGAAAAGGGCCACCTTCGATCCATTACAGCCCAGCTACTGACTCTACCCTTCCAGGCAGTTCGCTGCTGGCTCACAGGTAGTGTGTGTGTGTGTGTGTGTGTGTGTGTGTGTGTGTG